CAAAATTTATGCAGTGATAAAGTGGAGAGAAAAAAAATCACAAGATTTTGTTGGGAAACATGATTTATTACAATAACGTGTGCGGTTACTGTTTTATCTAAACATCTGGAATTACCATCTGGGTCTTAGTAGTAGAAATATTTTTATTGTTGTCTGTACACAAATATATTTATTTTTCTTTTAGCCATATCTTCAACTACCGGTAGTCATACTAAAATTTATTGTAAAAATCTTTGTAACCATTGGAAACACTGACCAATATTATCTAAATTTAAAACGAGTCAATTAAAAACTTTTCAAGTTATTGGAACCACAACAGGGAAGGCGATGACGAGACAGACATTTTCCTCTTGCATACCTTCTCTTTCATTGACATTACGATAGACAGCTATCAATATTTCTACATTTTAGTAAACACACTGTACATGTAAAACCTCACAAAAAAATGTTTCCAGTCAAACTGATTTTGTTTTGGCACCACTTTTTTTTATTATTGACAAAGGGCGATTGAAATAAGATTGACCCACACTTTTATGGTGATGCGCATCTCAACTAGAAACATATTTTTGTTAGGTCTCAGAACAATATCCAGAGACGGAAAAAGGATCTGCTGATGGCCAAAAATAGCGAAATCCATCAATGATTAGTAGCTTAGCACACACATGTATTTTATTTAAGCTGAGCGCCAAGAAAGTAAAATATAAATATCTACAACAGATAATCTGTGAAATGTTCAGCAAGAACACCAGAAGAATCATTACTCGTCTACATCCCTCTGAGATCGTACAAAGTTGATAAAGACTTGTTCTAACGTAGTTTGACTAACAGAGTAGTCTTCTATATTGTATTCAGTCTTTGCTCTCTCCATAATACCAAAGACTTTGGCCCAGGTCAACGACTCATCTTGGATGTGATAATGTACTAAACCTTGATGCTCGTCTTTCAACTTGCTACCTGCAATTGAGAAAGATGATATGCCAATTTCAAGGTCAAACAAGAACTGATGAAAAGGGAATACAAATTGAAACTGATTTAGGCAAAAACCGATTAATTACGCTGTTCTAAATTTTTCACTAATAGTTAACAGAAGTACAACATATGCAAATTGTTTGAATGAAATAGAACACAAAATTTGCATACAAGGCAAGCACGATGGTATATTTGTGATGCAATAAATCCACTTTCAACATTTCACATTTTCAGACTGTAAATATGCAGTGATATTAAAAATTTCTTTGAATTTTATACAAGTAAGAGAGTACCATCGGAAGTATCACCTACCTTTGAAAGTTTGTTCAATAAATCGTTTAAGTGGTAATAAATTGGGTTCTTCTCTTGTGTATGATATTTTTGCCAATAATGTATATCCCTGTCCAAATCTATGTTTAAGATGCTGTGTACTTCCAATACACTTTAGCTGACCATTTACCATGATTGCAAGTCTTGTACATAGCGCCTCACATTCCTCCATACTAAAACAACAAACAAATTAAGTCTTTCAAAATTTTGACAAATAGGTGCATAACAAAATGTTTGCTCAATTAGAAGCCCAGCTCTAACACAAGAACATATAAAACTGCATGTCTTATTTTGGCCACAGACACACCTCAGTTACTTACGTGTACATGCACTACTGACAAATAATGTGGTGTTATACTAAGCAGGTTATATTTTATCAGGTACATTCTCCATTTAGTTTAAAACAGGCATGGGTTAAATATTTGTAGTCAAACAATATAGTAAACTAGTATCAGGGCAGGTTGCTGAATACCATTTAATGCCAATGCAATGGGAGATTCATTACCTCGTTCTTTCCTCTCCATGATTTGAGTATATATCATCACTATGGCGTTTTTACAAATAAATTCATATTTATAATATATGTTAATAGGTATATTAATTTGTTAGTTTGAGACTGTTAGTTCACCAATGATGACAAGCGCCACCATTTTAATTTCTTATATGGTGTACATAAAAAGCATTCTGGGTAATGTTATGCCATGATAAAGAAAGATAGAAAGTAAGAAAATTAGTATTTTTCCATCACAGAGCTTTTTGTAACTAAATATGAACTTAATTAAAAATTTCTTTCAGATAATATGTATCAACAGTACCTATGTGACGTAAGCACAACACATCGACTTCCATCGGCTACAATGCGTGATATGGCATCCCATAATAGTCTCTTAGCAACAGGATCCATTCCAGTAGAAGGTTCATCTAAAAATACAATAGGTGGATCTCCCACTAGTGCCACGGCTGTACTTAATTTACGTTTATTACCACCACTATAAAAAAAAACATACATAATTGTCGCATTATAATGTCATTCATAACCCGAGACCACCATGTTTAAGGAAATGTTTATTATCAATGTTTCCATATTTAGGAAATGTCTCCATATTTGGGAAAGGTCTACATATTTGGGAAATGTCTCCATATTTGGTAAATGTCTCCATATTTGGTAAATGTCTCCATATTTAGAAAATGTCTACATTTGAGAATGTCTCCATATTTAAGAATGTTTTCATATTTGGTAAATGTCTATATTTGGTAAATGTTTCCATATTTGGTAAATGTCTCCATATTTAGAAAATGTCTACATAGAGAATGTCTCCATATTTAGAAAATGTCTACATAGAGAATGTCTCCATATTTAGAAAATGTCTACATTTGAGAATGTCTCCATATTTGGTAAATGTTTCCATATTTGATAAATGTTTCCATATTTGGTAAATGTTTCCATATTTGGTAAATGTTTCCATATTTGGTAAATGTTTCCATATTTGGTAAATGTCTCTATATTTGGTAAATGTCTATATTTGGTAAATGTCTCTATATTTGGTAAATGTCTATATTTGGTAAATGTCTATATTTGGTAAATGTCTCTATATTTGGTAAATGGTTCCATATTTGGTAAATGTCTCTATATTTGGTAAATGTCTCTATATTTGGGATGTATTTCCATATATGCTCACCTATATGCCTTGACTAATTTATCTGAGTGTTCTTCTAACAGCAAAGCTTTCATAAGTTCATTAACACTCTTTGGAATGTAGCATTCTGGTACACCACGCAGCCTAGCATACATTGTCAACGTTTCTCTTCCTGTCATCTGATCTATTAAAGCATCAAACTGTGGACAGTATCCAATTTTTTGTTGTACCTGTAACAGAGGGGGAATTAGTTTTGGAGTAAGGTTCCACAACATTAAATATCTGTATTTTTGGATCTACTAGTACATGTACATCGGTTACACTCATTTAAAGTTTGTGTGACACAATGACCATTTTAGAACTTACCAATTTGAGATCATTTTTGATATTGTACCCATCCACGTATGCTGTGCCTGACGTAATTATTTCATCCCCAGTCAACATCTTAAAAGTTGAGGTTTTCCCAGCGCCATTGTTACCAAGTAACCCGAAACATTCTCGAAATGATACACCAAATGAGAGATCATCAACAGCAACAAGTGCTTCATTACGACCTATCGAATAAACCTTGCGTAGACTTTTAACGACCAAAGTGTCTGACACCATTATTTTATGTAAAGGACTCAACTCGATACGTGATCTCTCTTCTGCTACATCTTCATCTTCCTGAAATTCAGATTGAAACAATAAATTTTTTACTATACTTCTATTCCGAGAGAGGACATGACTGAATGATCGATTTTAGAAGCTATAAGAACAGTGAAATTTTAGTTTTAAAGACATCACAATATTATAAGATTATACAGTACACTCTTACTGACAAGGACTTTCATTGTTACACTACATGTACATCACAGGAATAAAGATAAAGAATTTCTTAGCTTCAGTGTTTGGCAATTTTCCATAATGACAGAAAACAAGACATAGTTCTTTACTTACTTCCACTGCAGTGCTAAACTCTATCAATCTTTGTGGTTTGGACGGGAACAGTTGATACCAGAGCCACCTGAATATTTTCGTCTCTATCAAAAATACTAATGATATGAAAACGATTCCTTCCCATGCCAGGAACACCAAGTATCGACCAATACCACCTTTGTCATTCCAACCAATGTAAGTTTTATCATAATAAATCTCTGAAAAGTAAAATACAACCAATCAAGACTTAATCCTTTCAACACTTTCTAACTTGTCAATGTTCGCAAAATAATTTGCATAATTTTTTCGAAATCTGTAGCCAACTGTATGCATGCTTGCCTAACATGCACACCATGTGTTTTATGTTTATTGTACAAATGTACATACTAACTGTAGAAATACTTGCTATGCACAAACACCAACAGTTTATGCATTGTTTGTTGTGTCTGCATTTATCTCCTATCAAACACAAAATTAGGAAGTTCTACCATCGAGATGAAACATGGGCAGTAAATAACAGTATTGATAATTTAAAAATACCATTTCCATGGAAACAAGTCTGGTGATCCATCAGGATAATTATAGCCATGTAAGGTGATAACAACATTTTGTCTTCAGGAATGCCATAAAGTCATCAAATGACAAAAAATTCTTATTTATAGTGAAAATTAAGCAGTTTACATTTCCATCAATATTACATGACCCAAAATAGATGATTTTCCACTTATTGCGAGGTCTTGCATATTGTGTGATAGGCAAAGAATTTAAAAATTTAATTTTGAACTTGTCAATGAATATCTTTGTGTATCGCTCAATATTGAAATGCTGATCTTTCAGAAAGGAGAAATACCTTACTTCATTAAAATCGACCATCGTCAAATGTTTATTGCATATTATTAAGTGTGGAAATATCCAAACCTACTTCCAGATTTGTTGAATCCATAGCTATGTTTTGATGTCGCTATGATGCTAGCACCTTCAGCCTTTCTTTGATGTTTGATTTCACTATGACACGGGATCTCGCAGTGGTTAGAAAATAGTTTATTGTGATCATATCCATGATTGGTCTAATGTGGAAAATGCAAATAATTTCTATAAAAACAAAGTAAAGATAGGAATACTGTATACTAACCAAAATGCTTGCAAAGTATTTTACTCAATGGTGGCATGGATTCACACAGAGTTAGGGTCTCATAATTCTTGTAGAAGTCTGCAAGCGCAATTCCCAGACAGAAATTAGGCGATAGCATAAATATCCAGGTCAGGTCATCTGCTACATACATCAGGTTTAATGACGGGAATGATAAAATCTCAACTGTCATAAAAAATACTAATCCTGTGATGATGTTGAATATCGTCATTCGTACAAAACCCGTCGAAGGTACGGAGAACAAAAACGCAAATAAGTACATAAGAGGGATAATAGCCCAACCATACAATACCATTAATAGAAAGATGTAACCAAGGCGACCGCCTCCGGAATATGCATCAATGTCACCAATCAGGAACATTATACATATGATGATTATGCAAATTAGAAAGTTGATGATGTCCCAAGCAAATGTAGATAGCCAAAAATTGAATAAACTAACTCCGCTGACAAACTGAATGTGTTTGGATTTAGTGCTGCTTTCTTTAATTAGAAACACAACAAAGCTGCTGGCCAGGAACGCCATACCGAACAGTAAATTGAATGCGATTGCAAATCCAGTTGTTGAATCAGTCATGACGTTAGACATCGTTTCTTCGATGGTCTGCGGGAGGGGATAGTTGATTGCAGTTAACGAATAGGAATCATTCATTTTGGTTTTCAATATTGCATTGTCAACAGCGTTCAAGGATGCTGCGATAGCATGATAGGGTTGGTTGTTGAAGAACGATGTGACGTTAATTAAGTCTTCAAATGGTTGGAATAGTCCAGTGATCACATTGTGTGAATTAAAGCTGACATGATTCGTTGCTGCCTCAGTCACCAAGTAATTAGACGTTTCATTGAACCCAAAGTCTTTGAGTTTATGTGGTGAAGCATCAGTGCCTTTGAACTGATTAGCGTAACAGGAGGCTAGTTGATAACTTAAATTGGTTGCATGATGTCCGGCCGAATATGGTACTTCCACTTCCTTATAAGGTTCTAAAGTCAGCGTCAGTGGAGGGAGTTGTTTAACCGATGGGTACGTGATAACCACTATGATAGAAATCAAAGTGAAGAACGATGGTACCAGTATCTGCACTACCATAACCAGGAAGTTTCTCTTGGAATGTAACACTTTCTTCAGAAACATGGCATAGAATTGTTGGAATGCAAGCACAAGTCCTGCATTGTAAATACAATTGGGAGTCGGTATTGGTAAATCTGATTAAAGAAAGACGAAAAACAAGTGCAGTGGATAGGAAAGATAAAACACTATACAATACATGCAAGGTAAAGGAAATAGACAACAGAGAATAGAAATGAATAATTTAATGTGCAGTTATTTTACAAGAAAACCCATTTGTAGGTTATAGTAACATGTGATAACGTTATTCAAGTTTAACAATAAATTTGTCACTTTGTTCATTGAGGTATGGTAGCTATAGTAATGTTATATGATATGAATGATTCCCAACAGTTGCCCCATACAAGGTTTTGAATTCAGAACTCTGTATAGGGCAGTTCTTCCAATATACAAAATGTAGCTACAATCCGCTGTGCAAACCTTGGCTGAATTTTGTCTATCATGCGTCAATTTCAATATACCGTAAAATCTGTATTAGAAGCCAAATCTCTAATATAAGTTGCATCCATTCTTTTTGAACAATTGAGAACCAAATATTTACTATTTCTCATATGTGTAGATGTTCTAATAGAGGCATCTGTTGCATTAATTGTACCATTTTCATAGTTTCTAATACAGATTTTACAGTAGGCTTCGCAATAGTATGTTTCTGAAGAAATCGAAAAGAATATCACATGACATAAACCCGCAAATGGCTTTATGATGACATATCTTGAACGAACGTTAATACAAAGGTTTATCTAATTTATGTCATTCTGTTTACCACATTGATGGACAATGGTCGTTGTGACAATGCAATCCAATTTCATGTTGCTATATTAGTAGCTTAAGTAAATGAAGTATGTCTACTTTCAAAATAAGTCGTATTTTAAGGATTCAGCATAAAATAAATACAACATTTTGTTGCATATGTTGTATGTAATCAAGATTGAAAATGACGTGTCACGACGGCCATCGGCCTGTAACTCTATATGTGACAATTTTAGGATATTCACGAGTCACCAAATTTAGTTATTGCAAATACTACAGAAACAGCTAATGAGATATCATTGAGACCGAGATGCCAGAGACTTATTTCTGCCCCCCAAAATGTAGTGTTCTATTCTGTCTAATCACGTTCACTGTTCCCATGGTAACCATGGTATTAAGAACAGTTGATAAGACGAGAGAAAATGCAACTCTATTTGAGAAAAATAAAGTCTTGGGCTCTCTTGCTCTCAACAAGATCTTTGCATCCATTAGCAGTCAAGGTCAATATCATTTGTTTTAGTTTTTTGAGCACACACTTGTACGGAAATACAGTGATAGAATGTTGTTTAAACTAAAGACGAGTTATTACATAGTGTTACTTAAGATACATGTATTGTTTTAAATTATCTATCACATATAAATGTCATTAAATAGCATATTATGTATACACAACTGATGAGTTTTATTTTCTTTGGTTGCTAGGTTAAAGTGCACTTGCCAGTGTCAGATCAGCATTCAGCAGATTGAATTTGAGAAATATACTGAAGCGGCAATTTTTTTTTTTCAAATAGTGAAGAACTCAAAACTCATCAATTTTGTCACATGTAGGATTCAAATTTTTTAGTACAAATTGTGTAAATATCATTGTTAAACTCATAAAAAAAATATATTTTTGATCTGCATCAAAACTATATATCAGGCCAAATTTTGGCGGGAAAATGTTTTGCCATAAATAATCAATCATGCACAAATTAGCCTGAAGGTAAAATACTGAATGGCACTATAGAAGCTTACCAGTGGTGTGTTGGAATGGACTAGGTAACAACTCTTGGGCCTCAATAATACAGTCTCTAATGCCTTCATCTGAATCTTTGTCAACAGAACAACTATTTTGTGCTGATCGTTGTGGCATGTCATTCATATATAAACTTTTATATCCCTTCTTAGATCCGGAAAGATTGATGTCAACGATGCCTTTTAATGAATCATCTGCATTCTCACCAACCCTGTTAATTTACATAATTGGACTTCGTTTTTTAATTACATAAACAAGTATTTATTTTTCCACTATGCCATATTGGATTATGCAATATTACATGCAGTTTTACCATAAATAACAAGAGTATCATTTATCTCAAAGGTTTATCTTGATATTAAAGCGCCAGGCATGTGTGGGTCCAATGTGTGGGTCCTGTGCGTGGGTCCCGCGTGTGGGTCTTGTGCGTGGGTCCTATGCGTGGGTTCCATGTGCGTGGGTCCCATGTGCGTGGGTCCCATGTGCGTGGGTCCATGTGTGGGCCCGTGTGGGTCCCATGTGTGGGCCCGTGTGTGGGGCTGTGAGTGTCCTATGTGAGTGTCCATGTGTGGGTCCGTGTGTGGATCCGTGTGTGGGTGTGAAACATGAATATGTATTTAACACTTTGTTAGTGTACCGGTAATCACATATTCAAATTTCATGTAAATAAATGTATACTGAACACCTGAACATATACTTTTGTATATATATGTACGGGACACAATTTGAACATGACATACAGTAGTGCAATGACCGTGATGCTGTTACATGATGTGGTACCATGACGTGTCACTTTTTACACGAGTTAGTGTAATGACCATGTTTGTACATTAATGCAATCATGTGGCTTTACATGGTATGATGACAATGTCACTTTTAGATGACGAGGTGCGAATCAAAGTCAATATCTTTGCAGCAACACTGACACTCTAGACTAGTTGTTTGAAAACACGTCATTAGGACCGACTACATTCATCTTGCCCTCTTTACGAATACTTACTTTAGAAATACTTCTTCCATGGTAGTCACAGACGCCCCGTAACTACCAATACCAAGTGACGTTTTCTGCATTTCCAATTCTGTAAACAATGCTTCAAAATTGCAAGATGATTCGCTGGGTAGTATATACGAGAGCTCAGCGCCAATATTACTCCCTATCTGCCCATCGGGTACATGGTGTCGTACAATGTCCGTTATTTGCTCCACGTCACATCCCGGTAGTTTGACAATAGTCATGTGATAGCCAACTCCTAATATAAAATTTATTTAAGTTTGTTGTTAATTGTTTTCTCTGATCCATATATTCTAATCGGGACTTATTAATCAGGGCAGTATTAAGATGTGGTTGTGCCGCAAGTATGAGATTTGATTTCTGGGCATGCATGATCGACAGAACCTCTTACCATATTTTTTTTTCAGGAACAAAGAGGACCCACAGCATCTGATTTGCCCATCGGCCATGATAGCGATACGGTCACCAAGGAGATCAGCCTCATCCATGAAATGCGTGGTCAATAATATCGTTCTTCCAGCACGATGCTGTTGTAGTAAATCCCATGTAAATCTACGAGCCGAAGGATCCATACCTGAAGTGGGCTCATCAAGCATAACAACCTAGTAAAGAAAACAAACGTACACTTACACTCAGACCTGCATCACACACACTGAAGACACATGGCGAAAATATGCAGCGCTGATCAAAGTACTCTTCATCACATGATCACGAGTATTTAATTTTACGAGCTATCCTGTAATTCTGCAGGATTCTGGCACGACAGAGAGTGTGCCTTCTGATATGATACACAAGTGATGTACAAAGACCAAATGTGATGCAATTAGTTATGCTAATTCACTGACGCATCATTGACGCAACAGAAAATCGTACATGGATGAAGTGATCTTGAATTTTTAATTTGGTAAAATAAAATAAGTGTTAAAACGAAGGAAATCAGGAACCACAACATTTGTGTTTGTGCCTCAAGTCACGTATACAGTCACACACAATTTTATTTATTTTCTGACTACCAACCTCTCCAGTAACTGACTAAACTTGATTTGGGAAGATTTCATTTTAACTCAGTATCCCTAAAAAATCAGTCTTGTTAGAGAGCACATACCATTAATTATGGGGAAAGAGTTTATACATAAAAGATGACAAATTGAGAATTCTGAGAACTGATTCTCAGACAATGGTTTAATGTCACACTTAAACAACGTTACAATAAATACAATGGAAAGTGGCGAGAACTCCATTACATGACTGTACAATCTTTTATTAATATTGAACAGGGTCAACATCTACATTAAGTGTAGCACATTTACAACCAATTAAAACAAGTCATTGTCAATGACACGTCCCCGTTCCGTTCATATTTGAGTGACATATACATTCAAAGCAGATCATGACCGAAATGCACCTGCATATGTACAACACATTGTTCTAAATCTGAACAAAATCCATCCATGCATGCATGACTGAGATCAGTTTCTGGAATTGTGAAAATACGTGATTTTGATGCATTTTCGACCTTAAAATGGCCATCATTCAGCTATTGTTAAGCGGATCATGAAACAAATGCACATATCTATTTGTGACATGATGTACCATGTGTGTGTGAAGTTTGAACTTGATCAATCCAGACATGTCTTGGATACGGATCCAGAACTGAATTCTTTAAAACAAAATGGCCACCAGTCGGCCATTTCGAACTTGATCCGAAAAAAAAATGACGTGCATCAAGGTCCTATTATGTTTAATGTATATACCAAATTTGAACAAAATCCGTCCATGCATAACTGAGATCCGGGTTCGAAATGGTGAAAATGTGCGATTTCAATGCATTTT